GGCATACAGGACTTCCATGACTAACAGAAAATACTGGAGAGGGGGCTGGGAAAAATAGACCCTGACATTTGGGAATTGCAGTTTACCAAGCACGAAAGAACATTCTGAGCTCCACCAACAATAGAATTGAACCAAACTTGGCATACAGGACTTCCATGACTAACAGAAAATACTGGAGAGGGGGTTGGGAAAAATAGACCCTGACATTTGGGATTTGCAGTTTACCAAGCACCAAAGAGCATTCTGAGCTCCAACAACAATAGAATTGAACAAACTTGACATACAGGACTTCCATGACTAACAGAAAACACTGGAGGGGTGTGGGGAAAATGGATCTTGACCTTTGGGAATTGCAGTTTGACCAAGCACCAAAGAACATTCTGAGCTCCACCAACAATAGAATTGAACCAAACTTGGCATACAGGACTTCCATGACTAACAGAAAATAATGGAGAGGGGTTGGGAAAAATAGACCCTGACATTTGGGAATTGCAGTTTACCAAGCACCAAAGAACATTCTGAGCTCCACCAACAATAGAATTGAACCAAACTTGGCATACAGGACTTCCATTACCAAATACTAGAGAGGTTTGGGGGAGGCATGTACAAAAGATGACATTTGCAGTACCTTTTGAGGAGGCCTCCTTGCTGCCCTGAGAGGGGTCCAGGCTCAGCTGCAGGGAAGGGAAAGCGAAAGCGAAAGAGCCTGGCTGGCTGCCTCCTGGCAGCACGTGGAGGGAGGACTTCCCTCTCGCGTAGTGGGCGGGCCTGCGCTTCTCCATTAGAAGGCTGTTGAGGGCGCATGGGGCCTGCAGGAGGAGGCGTGGCCTAAGGACAAAACAGCGCCCCCTGGCAAAAAAAGTATTCCGCCACCGCTTACTTCGAGTAATGGACGGGCCGGCCCTGGGTGCAGGTGCTCACCTACAAAGCCCTAAACGGTTTGGGACCTGCCTACCTGCGTGACCGCATCTCCATATATGAACCCACATGTTCCCTTCGGTCATCTGGAGAGGCCTTGCTCACGATTCCACCTGCGTCGCAAGCGTGTTTGGTGGGGACGAGGGACAGGGCCTTCTCTGTGGTGGCCCTCCTGACTCTGGAACTCTCTCCCCAAGGACATCAGACAAGCCCCAACGTTGGCAGTCTTTAGGAAGAGCCTGAAGACCTGGCTGTTCCAGTGTGCCTTTCCAGAATAGGAAACTCCTGGCATTATGTCCCAAATGCACTTTGTTAGAGATTTAGGATTGTCTGCACATTGCACCTACCTCCAAAAACCTCTACATATCACCTGTCAAGTCCAGCACTTTTTAGACTTTGTCCATTACATTTGGCCCGGCCTTAGGTTTTAAATGCATCATGGTGTCATTGTTTTTAGTGTTTTATTGTTTTGCTTGATGTTTTATTATTTGCTTTATGAGTTTTATTGTTTTATTTGTATGCTGTTGTTTTGTTGATGGCCTTGGCCTTTGTAAGCCGCATCGAGTCCTTCGGGAGATTTTAGCGGGGTATAAATAAAGTTAATAATAATAAATAATAATATTATTTATTATTTATTATTATTATTATTTTGAGGTTTTATATACCGACCCTCTCACCTTCAAAGAGGGATTCGGACCGGTTCACAACATGTGTTAACATACAAAGAATATACAATAACAACACAATGCCACTTCATTACATGATTAAAATATCAGCACCATAAACATTAAAACATTATCATCATAATAATAATGTGATCAGAAAGGAATATGGTGAGGCAAGCGATAATGGGCTGAAATGGGCCTTGATATATCAGCTCCAGTCGGTGCCAGTCCAGAGAAACAAAAGGATGCTTTAGGATGTTGGCCATTTCAATGGAAGTCCCTGGAGGGGGTCCGATTAGATGACAGAGTGAAGAATGCATTCCCAGAATTATCTCGGATCATATCAGGGTAAAAGAGGAAAAGACCCAAAGTACTTGCACAAACTTATTGTGTGCCCCCCATGTCCCTGGGCTATTGTGTGGGGATTATGATAATTATGAGGCTACATTCAGAGGGCCAAGGAGCAGTGGGGCAATATTCTTGGGGAAATTCATGAAAGTTTGCTACAGGACAAATGGGGAAAGCAATGAGGCTTACTGTATGTCCCAATGGAGCCACAGATCATAATTCATAATTTTGGGTTCAAATTTTTGATAACACACTAAGAGGAATTGCTTCAAGGATGAAGTGTGAAGAAGAAACACATATACTACCTTGACCTCATTTAAGGAAAGCTACTGTAAACATGTAAATCAACACTGATCTGACTCCATATGCCATTTGTAATACATAAATAGCCTCAAAATAAATCAAATTTATAATTAACCAACAAAATAATTTGGCCATTTCTAAACTAATTCAAGTAAATTATTTGTGTTCAGAAAAACAAAAATGTTTGCTCCAAATGTTACATCCATCTGGGTAACATTTAAAATGCTAGATGCCTAGAAAAGCTCAAAACTATGACTGAATCCCCAAGGGGCAACTATTTTGGATGCAGAATTGAACTCTCAGTAATCCAATTTAGCCAAGTATAGTATCCAGCATGATTTGACTTCAAATGAGCGCATAGAATGAAGTAGCCCCATCTACTTCAGTGCTTGCTTGCAGTACTTTGAAACACATTCATATGACAGACAATGGATTAATCTCCATTCTGAGCCAGGTAACTATCTATTTTAACAAGACTCCCACAGGATTTTAAAAAGACTGTGGACTGGTAAAATGGGGAATGCTCAACACACGCTAATGTTTCTAATGTCATACAAAAATATGCCAAACAAACAGACCAATCAACTCAGAAAACCTATGTCTTCTGGAAGATCTACACATATTTAAAATATGGATTTTATGTTTAAATTTCATCAGTATTTTAATCTTTGTTCTGTGTATTTTAATAGTATTGTGTTCTGGCTATGTGTTTTAACTATGTTGTATCCTGCCTCGAGTAATGAGAAGAGGCAGGTAACTATTATTATTATTATTATTATTATTACTACTACTACTACTACTACTACTACTATTACCTTGCTGAGTTTCCAAGATCTGAGGCATGTAGGGTTTTTAGACCCACATTAACCATTGACACACTCATATATGGGTGAACTAATTTGTCAAATTGAAACAACATGCCTATTATTTTAATTCCAAGCCTGACTTATATTTTAAACCACCAACAGTTAAGAACAAAAGACCTAAAATGAAATCCTTAAAATATTTGGCTCTGCCAGTGAAAGCCAATCTAAACAGTAGCTCTTTCAGAAGTGCTTATGCAAGTTTCATGGTTAGGTTATTGTCATGTCTTAACCTGAGGCAGGGTTGCCGACTGACTATAAAAAAAGGTTGCTGGGCCTGTTTTTCACTCACAAATACAAGAAAATGTGTTCAGAACATCAACATACAACCACAATTGCCTAGCGATATTTGCATATCATACTACTGTTAGTGGTACAAGAAATTATTAAGTGTAGACAGTATTAACGCTGTCTCTTCAACAACAACAGAAGTAAATCTCTCTCTCTTTCCCAATGGAAGTTTCTCTCAGTGCACTGTACCTACAATGGCAGTCTAAGAGGGTAAATCCATCCTTTCAGGGTTTGAGTATACAATACTTAACAGCAAAATACTGAAGTAATTCCACCCTCCCATATTTTTTCAATTGAGTTTACTCTCAAAGAAATACATATTGGATAGCAGATGAAAGTACACTTAGGCTGTTGGAGTTTTTTATATTATAAGCTTTAACCTAGATAAAGATAAGCTGGTGAACTGTGGGCTACACAGTACTACTGTTTGGTGGATTAGTAACTGCTTCACCGACTGGACCTGATGGTTGCTCCATCCTGGAAAGAAGTGAGTAGTTAGAATGCCTCAGGGTTCTGTCCTAAGTTTGGAGTTGCTTAACATCTTTATAAATCACTAGCCTATAACCGGCATCGACTGCGTATACATTTTCTTTGTGGTTCTTTCTTTCCTTCCTCTGTTTCCCTCATACATCTTCTCCCTCTTGCTTTTCTTCCTTTCCTTCCTTCTTTCCTTGCTTTCTCTCATACCCATTTCCCCTCATCTATCTTTCCTTTCTCCTCCTTCTTTCTTCCCTCTCTTCCTTTGTCCCTTCTTTCTTCCCTTTCTTCCCCTCCCCTCCCCTCATACCATTTCCTTTTTTTCCCCTTTTTATTTCTTTTTTCCTCTTTGTCCCCTTTTCTTCCCTTTCTTTAATAATAATAATAATAATAATAATAATACATCTTTATTTATACCCCACCACCATCTCCCAAGGTCTATCGCATTTGGGCATATTGAGCATTCCTGTCAAGTTTGGTCCAGATCCATCCTTGTTTGAGTCCACAGTGTTCTCTGGATATAGGTGAACTACAATTCCAAAACTCAAGGTCAGTGCTCACCAAACTCTTCTAGTGTTTTGTGTTGGTCATGGGAGAGCTGTGTGCCAAGTTTGGTTCAATTCCATTGTTGGTGGAGTTCAGAATGCTCTTTGATTATAGGTGAACTATAAATCCCAGAAACTACAACTCCCAAATGACAAAATCATAATTTTTGAGTGATGGTCACTCCTTGTGTAATGAGATGTTTTGTTGCCAAATTTGGTGTGATTTCGTTCATTGGTTCTTTTGTTTTTAAGGTACTCATTATGCACAGACCATTTTTATATATATAGATAGATACTATTCACACATCTATATAAATAAATAAAATGGTTTGCTTTTAGAGAGAGAGAGAGATTGGAACAGAAGACAATGACATGCTTACCAAATTTGACAGTATTTCAGACAAGAACATCGATTCCTCTTCCTGAAAGAGCTGCTTGACAGTCACAGACACTGCCTCAGAGAATGGAATTCCCTTCAAGGGACTCCGGGAAAGCTCCACACAACCCACTTCCCAACGAGGCCTACCTCTACCCTTCAAGCCTAAAACCCACAAGAACTGACTTTCCCCCTCTCCTCAAAACAAACTTACCGCCCGATGGTCACTTAGCAACCGAAACAGGAAGCCACCCCAAAGGATGCCGGGTAAACCATTCCCCCAGCGTCAACTCCGGTAGTGTACTACCTTTCCCAAGACGCTTTGCGACCAACATAACCTGAAATTCATCCTGAGGTAGAGGCGCGTGAGCAAGCCAAATCCCAGGCGCATGCGCAAACCGAATCCAGTTAGAAACACAGGGACTGAAGCCCTGCACAGGCCGCAACTTCCGGGCAACCTCCACTTCCGGCTCTTCCAACATGGCTGCGCTGCCACTTCCGCTCCTTTGCTTAGGCCTACAGTTCCCGGCATGCAGCGCTCCAGAGGCGGTTTTTCTGCTTCGTGCAAACGTCCGAAGGGAGAGAAAGGAAGTGTCGAGAGTAGGGAAGGCAGTCGCTCGAGCTCCGTTGCAGGCAGCGCCTCGGCAGCCTTTCCCTGAGAGCCCAAAGGGCCTCGAAACGTAAGTAGAGGCAGGGTGTACCTGCAGTGTAGACTTAACCCGGGTTGACACCGCTTTAATTGCCATGGCTCAATGCTAGAGGATCCTGGGAGTTGCATTTTTACACATTCTTTAGTCTTTTCTACCCAAAGTGCTGATGTCTCACCGAACGACAATAAACCTTGTATTTTTTTACATTTGTAGCAGGATATTTTGAGCTGTATAAGATTTGAATAGGGAACAATAATAGTTGCACTCACTGACTCATTCCTGTGGGAGAAGATATTTTATTTATTTATGTATTTATTTATTTACTTTGCTTCTATACCGCTGTATCTCAAGCCCGAAGGCGACTCACAGCGGTTCACAAACAGTAAAAACAGTAGAAACAGCAGTGGTTCCATACAACATATAACAATTGACTTAACACATTATCCATAAATTACCAATAAGCAATTACAATGCACAATTATTACAAAAAACAACGTACCCAATCTTCTCATCATCCAAGCGTAGTCCAGGTTCGTCGTCCATTGTTCCATTCCTATATTCCATTACCAGATTGCACTAAATTACTCAAACGCCTGCTCAAACAGCCAGGTCTTCACCTTTTTGCGGAATACCATTAGAGATGGTGCTAGTCTAATGTCCGTAGGAAGGGCGTTCCACAGCCGAGGAGCCACCACCGAGAAGGCCCTATCTCTCGTCCCCGCCAGCCGAGCTTGAGAAGCAGGCGGGATCGAGAGCAGGGTCTCCCCGGAAGATCTCAAAGTCCTGGTGGGTTCATAGGCAGAGATGCGGTCAGATAGGTAGCTTGGGCCGGAACCGTTTAGGGCTTTAAAGGCCAACGCCAGCACTTTGAATTCAGCCCGGTAGCAGATCGGTAGCCAGTGGAGTTGGCGCAACAGGGGGGTTGTATGCTCCCTGCCCTCCGCTCCTGTTAAAATCATGGCTGCCGAGCGTTGGACTAGTTGGAGCTTCCGAGCTGTCTTCAAAGGCAACCCCACGTAGAGAGCGTTGCAGTAGTCTAAACGGGATGTAACCAGAGCGTGGACTACCGTGGCCAAGTCAGACTTCCCAAGATACGGGCGCAGCTGGCGCACAAGCTTTAGCTGTGCAATGCTCCCCTGGTCACCGCCGAAACCTGGGGTTCCAGGCTCAACGATGAGTCCAAGGTCACACCCAAGCTGCGAACCTGCGTCTTCAGGGGGAGTGCGGCCCCATCCAACACAGGCTGTAACCCTATGCCCTGTTCGGCCTTGCGACTGACCAGGAGTACCTCTGTCTTGTCTGGATTCAATTTCAATTTGTTCGCCCTCATCCAGACCGTCACAGCGGCCAAGCATCGGTTCAGGACCTGGACAGCCTCCTTAGTAGCAGGTGGAAAGGAGATTTATTTAGTCAGAAGATAACTGAGTAGAATGTTTCCTTTATATGGCTTAGTTAAAAAGTGAAGAGCTGATGTAATGTATATATATATACAGGCTGTTCAGGTCCGCTGTCACGGACTGGATGAGGGACAACAGATTGAAACTGAATCCAGACAAGACAGAGGTACTCCTGGTCAGTCGTAAGGCCGAACAGGGTACAGGGTTACAGCCTGTGCTGGACGGGGTCACACTCCCCCTAAAAACACAGGTACGCAGTCTGGGAGTTCTCCTGGATTCATCGCTGAGCCTGGAACCCCAGGTTTCAGCGGTGGTCAGGGGAGCATTCGCACAATTAAAACTTGTGCGCCAGCTGCGTCCGTACCTTGGGAAGGCTGACTTGGCCACGGTAGTACACGCTTTGGTTACATCCCGCTTAGATTACTGCAACGCTCTCTACGTGGGGTTGCCTCTGAAGACTGCCCGGAAGCTGCAGCAAGTACAACGCGCGGCAGCCAGATTACTAACGGGTGCGGGGTACAGGGAGCACACCACTCCGCTGTTACTCGAACTCCACTGGCTGCCGATTAGCTTCCGAGCACAATTCAAAGTGCTGGTGTTAACCTATAAAGCCCTAAACGACTCCGGCCCTGTTTACCTCTCCGAACGTATTCTCCCCTACGAACCATCAAGACCACTAAGATTGTCTGGAGGGGCCCTGCTCTCGGTCCCACCGCCTGCACAAGCACGGCTGGTGGGGACGAGGGACAGGGCCTTCTCGATGGTGGCCCCTCGACTTTGGAACTCCCTGCCATTAGAGATCAGAACTGCCCCCTCCCTCATGACGTTCAGGAAACTAACAAAGACCTGGTTGTGGAACGCGGCATTTGACAACTGATTTAATTCTTTGCCCACATGAAAGGAGGATGATGAATGGGATTGTGATGGTGTTGGACGATTTGGCTCTTTTAACTGTGATGATAATGTTTTAATGTGTATGGTGCTGATATTTTAATCGTGTAATGAAGTGGCATTGTGTTGTTATTGTATATTCTTTGTATGTTAACACATGTTGTGAACCGGTCCGAATCCCTCTTTGAAGGTGAGAGGGTCGGTATATAAAACCTCAAAATAAATAATAATAAATAAATAAATATAAAAATGGTCTGTGCATAATGAGTACCTTAAAAACAAAAGGACCAATGAACGGAATCACACCAAATTTGGCAACAAAATGTTTCACAACACAAGGAGTGACCATCACTCAAAAAATTATGATTTTGCCATTTGGGAGTTGTAGTTGCTGGGATTTATAGTTCACTTACAATCAAGAGCATTCTGAACTCCATCAATGATGGAATTGAACCAAACTTGGCACACAGAACTCCTGTGACCAACAGACAACACTAGAAGGGTTTGATGGGCATTGACCTTGAGTTTGGGAGTTGTAGTTCACCTACATCCAGAGAGCACTGTAGACTCAAACAATGATGGATCTGGACCAAATTTGGCACAAGCACTCAATACGCCCAAATATGAAGTTTGGAGGAAATAGACCTTGACATTTGGGAGTTGTAGTCACTGGGATTCACAGTTCACCTACAATCAAAGAGCATTCTGAATCCCACAAATGACAGAATCGGGGCAAACTTTCCACACAGAACCCTCATGACCAACAGAAAATACTTAAGGCCATCCAATCCAACTCCCTTCATCAGGGCAAGAAAACGTAATCAAAGAGCCATCCAACCATAGATATAGATAGATAGATTGATATAGATAGATAGATATGATTCGGGGTGACTAGGGTGGCATATAAATGTCGTAAATAATACATAAATAAATATACGTGAAAGGTTTTCATGAGAACTTCTCTGCCTGGCTGTCTACAATATGTACTAGCTGACCAATTAAAGATACAGGAACGCAGACATACTATAGAAAAGGGAATAATTGTGGCTTTCATGGCCAGAATCCCGGAGTTGCTGTGAGTTTTCCAAACTGTCTGGCCATGTTCAAGAAGCATTCTCTCCTGACATTTCACCCACATCTATGGCAGGCATCCTCGGAGGTTGTGAGGTCTGTTGGAGACTAGGAAAATAATAATAACAATAATAATTTTTATTTATACCCCGCCACCATTTCCCCAATGGGCACTCGGGGCAGCTTACATGAGACCAAGCCCAGAAATGCATTACAGCAAAATAAAACCAAAACACAAAATAAACATCACAATAAAATGAAACATAAGGATACAGTAAAATAATGCAAAATACAGTAATAGATAAATCACAATCACAGTGAGTGGGCCACATGTACAAGGTAAAATTTTTACACATTCTTTAGTCTTTTCTACCCAAAATGCTGGTGTCTCACCGAACGACAATAAATCTTGTATTTTTTGACATATATATGAAAAGCTTTCATGAGAACTTCTCTGCCTGGTTGTCTACAGTATGTACTAGCTGACCAGTTATTGATACAGGAATGCAGACATACTATAGAAAAGGGAATAATTGTGGCTTTCATGGCCAGAATCACGGAGTTGCTGTGAATTTTCCAAACTGTTTGGCCATGTTCAAGAAGCATTCTCTCCTGACATTTCACCCACATCTATGGCAGGCATCCTCAGAGGTGTGAGGTCTGTTGGAAACTAGGAAATTGTGGTTTATATATCTTTGGAAAGTCCAGGGTTGGAGAAAGAACTCTTATCTGTTGAAGGAAGGCGTGAATGTTTCAGTTGGCCACTTTGATTAGCATTTAATGGCCTTGCAGCCTCAAAGACTGGCTGGTTGCTGCCTGGGAGAATTCTTGGTTAGAAAGTGTTACTTGGCCCTGATTGTTTCTTGTCTTGAATTCCCTTTTTTCTGAGTGTTGCTCTTTATTTACTGTCCTGATTCTAGAGTTTTTTAAATAGTAGCCAGATTTTGTTCATTTTCATGGTTTCCTCCTTTCTGTTGAAATTGCCCACGTGCTTGTGGATTTCAATGGATTTTCTGTGTAGTCTGACATGGGGTTGTTAGAGTGGTCCAGCATTTCTGTGTTCTCAAATAATATGCTATGTCATCAGGTGATTTGCTATGGTTGACTTCTCAGGTGGAATTAGTCTGCAGTGCCTCTCATGTTCCTTAATTTGTGTTGAGCAATGCTGCATTTGGTGGTTCCTATGTAGACTTGTCCACAGCTGCATGGTATACGGTAGACTCCTGCAGAAGTGAGAGGATCCCTCTTGTCCTTTGCTGAATGTAGCATTTGTTAAATTTTCTTTCTGGTTCTGTAAATAGTTTGTAGGTTGTGTTTCTTCATCAGCTTCCCTATGCAGTCAGTGGTTCCTTTAATGTAAGAACTTTTCCTCTTGGTG